ACTTAGCGGCTGTGCCCCCTTGGGCAGGTCCACCTCTTTCTGTGTTAGTTTTCTTCGTAAAATGGGGCTCTGGGTGTATGTAGTACTCGGCATAGAGTGTGTGCCCGATAAAAAGCTACTAGGGGAACCCATGTCCACTCAAGAATATAGCTTTATAAAGAAAACGTTGAGATTTTAAAACAGGCTTTTTAAAAATTTTATTATTCATTTATTTATGCATTTATGCTTTTATTTATTTTGAGACAAGTCTCACGTAGTTGGCCTTGAACTCTGATCCTCCTGCCTGCACTTTCCAGGTGCTTGGATTGCAGGACTGCACAGCCAAGCTCAGATGAGGTTTTTGTTTGTTTGTTTGTTTATTTGTCTTAAGAAAGAGTTGTTAAAGTTTTTATTTGAGCTGGGTGTGGTGGTGCACACCTTGAATCCCAGCCCCCGGGAGGCAGAGGCAAGAGGAGTTCAAGGCTAGCCTGGCCTACAGAGCAAGTTCCAGGACAGCCAGAGCTATACAGAAAAACCCTGTCTGGGGGGGAAAAAGCAAATTTTTCTTGCCTGTTGACTAGTTAAGTTTCTTCCATTTGTTTTGCAAATAGGTGGGATAGATTCTGGGGAAAAAGCTAGTCCAGAATGGTACCTTTCTAAGGATGCTGAGGGACTGATAATAATATGTCTGTAGGTGATGGGATGGAGCCATGATAAAAGAGAAACAGGATTCCTGACATTCTGCCATGTCAGGATGTGCCTTAGTTTTGGGGTGATATGAATATGCCTTGGCAACATCTATTTGTTTTATTGTCTTCCGTTTGAGACAGGGTCTTAGTCTGTAGCTCAGGTTGGCCCCAAACTTGTGAGTGCTAGGATTACAAGGGTGAGCCATCATATTCAGCTTATAGAGCATCAGTAATCAGTGTGAAACAAAATAAAGAGATCCAGGGCTGTGCGTCAAGATGTGGCAGAGCATATACTTCGCATCCTCAGGCAGATCTAGTCCAACTCCATTTTTCAAGATAGTCTTCTCCTGCACTCTGTGTTTCAACCAATTTTATACTTACCTGAGCTTCTAGGCAATTACCCACCCACACAGAAGTTCAGCGAAACATCAGAAGTGATAGTTGAGTGAGCTGGGCAAAGATCTCTGTCATCCAAGTCTTAGGAGATGGGTGACATGGAGAAGGTGGGCACATTTCCAGTTGTTTACTCATTCTCAAATTCATATTCCCTCTCTCCCACTCTGCCTTCCTTCTCCCTCTTCCTCCCCTGCTCCCGTCTCTCTCCACGGCCTCACTGGATAGCCTAAACTGGCCTCTGATTCACAGTCTTCCTGCCTCAGCCTCTGACACCAGGATTACAGTTCTATACCATTGTGCTGGTTCCTTTTTGTCAATCTGACACAAGCTAGAGTCATCTGGAAAGAGCAACCCTCCACTGAGAAAATACCCCCATCCGACTGGCCTGTAGGCAAGTCTATGAAAGCATTTGCTTGATTAGCGATTGATGTGGGAGGGCCCAGTCCACTGTGGGCAGTGCCATCCCTGGGCAGAGAGTCCTGCATTCCATATGAAAGCAGGTTGAGCCAGCCATGAGGAGTAAGCCAATAATCAGTGTTCCTCCATGGCTTCTGCATCGATTCCTGCCTGCAGATTCCTGCTTTGAGTTCCTGCCTCGGCTTCTCTTGATAATGGCCTGTAACCTGTAAGTTAAATACACCCCTTCCTTCCCATGTTGCTTCTAGTTAGCATGTTTTGTTTTTTTTAATCATTTGTGGATGCCAGATTTTATGTAGACACACACACACACACACACACACACACACACACACACACACACACACACACACCATGACAGTAGAAGTGAAACTCTTTGGGGAATTAAAGGAACTGATGGTAGGAGAGAAAGGGGAGGGGAGGGGCGTATGGAGGGAGCATGTTCAAAGTACGTTACAGACTTCCATGAAAACGTCTCTGTGAAATCCAATACTATGTACAGTGAATATATGCCAATAACAAAAAGGATGGGGAGGAATCACTTTCAGATAATGTGATAATTACAGAGAGGCAGATGGAGTTGTCTACCACATGAGTCCGTTTGAAGGCTTTTTGCTTTTCATGGTTAGCCTCCACTAAAACCAATACTTGCCTCTATTATGTGTCAAAGACCAAACCAATAGACTGAGTCTAACAACCCCATCAAGACATTTACTTAATATTTAACTAAGGCTAAATTACAGATTCCACTTCAGAGGGAAAGGGGCAGAATCCCGGACGCCTCATTCTATTGCATTCCATGCGGGTTCTAGGGGGTTTCAATCTGGCTATTGTTGGCTCTGCTTAAAGAGTCATTAATCTCAAGTGAGAACCAATTTAACAAGCCGAGACATCTTTTGAAGTGACTGGTGGGAGCAGTTTAAACAGAGGATTAGGAGATAATCACATTTTGAGTCATCTTTGGGCCCCTATAAAGCTGACCCCAGGCCAGGGGGTGTGAGGTGCAGGCCCTCTTCCACACCTCTCTAAGCAGGTGACAAGCTCCTTTGTCAGGCAAGCAGGTGGCCGTCGGAAACACTGATCTCTTTAGACACGTCGTCAACTCCGCAGTGATGCTCAGGACTGCTTCATAAAAAGATACCCAAACCCCACAGCAGTAAAACCCTCACAGGCTAGCAGGCATGAGTTAAATGTGGGCGCAGAACTGCCCTGTGCTACTGGTATCAGCTAGCTGGGTGTGAGTAATCAAACAGGGGGGAAAAAAAACGCTGTTTCTCCAACTTAAGCTCATTTATTGAGAAAGCGCAGGATCCCAAAGGGCCCCCTGGAAAGAACACTGTGCTTTTCTGGTTTTCCTTATTGCCAAAGTTGTGGCATCTACAAGAGAGAAAAAAACAACAAAACAAACAAACAAACAAAAATGGTGTATGCTTGCCAAGCCATTAAGCTTTTTCTAAACTGTCCCTTCAATTGTATTGCGTACAAGCAGCAGGCAGTGCACAAATTATTTGACACTAAATCAGCATTCATTTCAAGAGAACTGTCTGGTATTGAGGGAGACTCACAATGCAAGACAAAAATCATCGAAGACAGCCTAGCACTTTACAAAAGCATCACTATAGTCTATGCCATTCCACCCAATCTTTGCTATTTTTCTCCCTCCTGCACACCACAGAGGGACCTCTTTAAAATGTCACATACATAGCACATGTGTGACCACGTGACAAGCCTCCAGGGATCTCTGGCTGTGTCCTTTCAGCTGAAATCAGTGGAGATGGCAGGCTGGAATCACAAAGTGCTTTGAACAGGGTTTCCATTCTGGGTTTCATCACAGTGGCAGTTTGACTGTATTTGGTCCCCCATAATCTCATAGGGAGTGACATTATTAGGATGTGTGGCTTTGTTGGAGTTGGTATGGCCTTGTTGGAGGAAGTGTGTCACTGTGGGGGCGGGCTTTGAGGTTTCCTACAGTCAGGATACTGCCCAGCATGTCAGTTGATGTCCTGTTGCCTACAAGACTGTAGCAGTCTCAGCTCCAGCATCACCTCTGCCTGCATGCCACCATGCTCCCCGCCATGGCGATCACTGACTGAACCTCTGAAACTGTAAGCAAGCCCCCTCAACTAAATGTTTGCTTTATAAGAGTTGCCGTGGTCATGGTGTCTCTTCACAGCCATAAAAACCCAAACTAAGGCAATCACCCAGGTCTTTCTCATCCCACAGCCCGATCCATGGCATTGGCAGCCCTGTCAATCATCTCTCCCTACCCCTATCCACAGCTGTTGGCATCAAAAGCAGCCAGTCTAAGGGACTGGCCAGAGATGGACAGGTTTGTGGGATTGAACTCTATAATGAACTACATATGATTGTCTTGAAACAGTCCTAGCTGACAGCAGGAGGTAACAGGGAATAGTCACAACTGTGTTGTACCTGACAACCCAACCATTCCCCAATGTCAGACCTTTGAGGCTGTGGTTCCTGGATTCCCCATACACGTAGAACATACCCTACTTCTCTGAGCGAGTTTGAACAGCCCTGTGTTGCCGAAAATAACAACATGCTACCTGTGTCACATCAGCCAGATGTTGCTTTTAGGACCATGAGCCTCTGCCCCAACCTCTACGCTGTGATCATGGTGTGAGTAAACTCCCTTCTCCCCTCATTGAGGACACGCCTTGCTTCTGATCAGGGAGAGAGAACCAAAAGCCATGAATTATTAGGGGAGAAGTCGGGTCTGCATAGAAACTTCCAGAATCAAGAAAGGGCTTGGACTATAATCAGAAAAATGGAAATGGTTTAGCTATGATTACACATACCTCCACACACATGTGGACATTTGCAGACAGATGCACATAACACACACACACACACACACACACACACACACACACACACACACCACCTCACACAGCCGTGCAAAAGAACAACAACAACATAAACCAAACACAAACAAACAAACACATCGACCAGAACTTTCTCCCAACCAAGGCTAAGAGACAGGGTACCAAGGAAACAGCAGGAGGGGGCTCTTGCTGTACACCTGACTCATCACAGTTGTCTCGTGTGTTACCCCCTAGGCAGGCAGTCAGCCGAGGATGTTTTGACCTCTCCAATGTATGAAGAGTCATTGCTTCCCAGTGCTTGGAATTTCTGCTCTACAGCTTCCAGTTAGATTTTCATCAAATTTTATTAATATAGCCTCTTGGAAGGTTTTACCCCACACTCCACAAGAGTTCTTACAAAGCTCCTTTCTTCCCTGCCCAGTGTCTTACCTCTCTTCTAGTCTGTTTTCTTATAGAAGGGAGAATATCAAACAAGTACGTGAAGGCACAGGTTGGCCTGTTTTTTTGCAAATAAAATGCACTATGCTTTTTCTAAACTAAACTAGAGCAAATAGCAAATTCTTGTGCAAGTAGTGTTAAAGGAGAAAGACCACCTGTTCAAGATACTTGCATACCAAGGCAGGTAATCACCTTAGATGTGTCTGTGATAAGTAAATAATAATGACAAAATACTTACAACCCATATCATGACCAGTCTTCTGGACAAATAAGGATCAATATTCCAGTGGGTGAATGGGAGAAATGTGATGTAGAACACTTCCTGGCCCAAGGCGGCTGAAAACCGGAACAGGTAATAGTAGAAATAATTCTTCACAACGTGCTTCTCTACATAAGCCTGTAAGACAAAGGCCGGGAGATTCTGAGTTCATTCAACATGCCTGGAAGAACCTTGCCTAAAACTCACCAGCAGGGTGCTGCCTCATCCTGTTACTGTGGTCTCATTAACACCAGCCGGTATCATTGCTGAACATCTGCCAGCCCCAGCTTGTAAACAGAAGCACAGGAGACATTAGGGGTTGTTGTTGTTGTTTGCTTTGTTTTGTTTTTACGATTAAACATGCAGCATCAAAGGCAGATGTATGAGGAGAAGCTCCTCTCTCCCTCCACACATCCGAGTGTGCACGTAAAACAAACCAGAGCCTCTGTCTTGTGTGTATAGAAGGCTAGAAACCTGTAGGAGGACCAGAGCGGCCCAGTACCATATGGGTTCCTGAAATTCAGAGGAGAAAAATGATGCTTCTCTCAAAGATAGCCATTCATCCCATCCAAGTACTGACGCGTGTAGCATGAATCTTAAAGAGTCTTATTAATAAGAATGAACCTGGGGGCAGTTATTGGGGTGAATACTGGAAGGTCAGAGAGACAGAACAAGCCACAGCTAACCTCACCTGGCCAACTTCTCAGCTGATCTTGTTTCCTCAGACTGGAAGCCTCTGTGTCCTCATATCCGAATGGTTCTCAGCTGAACTGTGCTGCTCAAAACTTAAAAGCTTAACCAGCCAAATGCTTCTAGTTTCTGGTCCTCATACCTTATATACCGTTCTACCTTCTACTACCACTCCCTAGGATTAAAGGCATGTTTTACCATGCCTGGCTGTTTCCAATGTGGCCTTGAACTCACAGAGATCCAGAGGGATTTCTACCTCTGGAATGCTAGGATTAAAGGCGTGAGTACCACCATTTTCTGGCCTCTGTATCTAGTGGCTGTCTGTTCTCTGTTCCCAGATAAGTTTATTAGTGTGCACAATATTTTGGGGAATACAATGCCACCACAGACGGGGCCTAACCTTGCTTAGCTTCTGAGATCAGGTGAGAGCAGACACATGCAGGGTGGTATAGTCTCTAGAACATATGAATACATCACCTTGCAGAACAAAGGGTCACTGCAACTACAATTCAGCAATGAAGTGGAGGTAAAGCTGCTTTCCTAGATCATCTGTGTGGGCTCTGTAGTCACAGGGATCCTTTCATAAGATGGAGTGAGGGTGTGCCACCAGGCTTCTGGGCCTGGCTTCTAAGCTCAGGAGCCCATTTTGACTGTTGGGCATGTCTTTTCCCTGGCTTTTATGTATTTATTATTTATTCATCTATTTATTTTACATCCAGGCCTCAGCCTCCCCCTATCCTCTTCTCCCAGTCCCTCCTTCCCTCCTCCAACCCTGCTTCCATCCCCGCCCCAATCCCCTCGTCTCCCATCTGCATCCAGGAAAGGGCAGGTCATAAGTATCAACAAAACATGGCATATCAAGTTGCAGTAAGACTAAGCACCTCCCCATGTATTAAGGCTGGGCAAGGCGACCCAGTATGAGGAGTAGGGTCCCAAAAGCCAGTAAAAGAGTCAGAGACAGCCCCTGTTCCCATTGTTAGGAGTCCCACAAGAGGACCAAGCTACACAACTGTAAAATATATGCAGAGTGCCTAGGTCATTCCCATACTGGAGGGCATGGAGGGGGAGAGTTCTTGAGGGGGGCTGCTAGGTCATGCATTTCGGGATTTGGTTGAAACCTGGTGCAGGAGAATCTCCCAGGAGTCTACGGGAAGGATCGCAGCTTAGACTCCTAGCAACAGCAGATACGTAGCCTGAACTGGCCATCTCCTGTGACCAGACTGGTGCCTGGCCCAATTGTTATCAGAGAGGCATCGTCCAGCAACTGATGGAGGTGGATGCAGAGACCCACTGTTAAACATTAGGTGGAGTTTAGAAATCCTGCAGAGGAGGAGCATGTAGGAGCTGAGGGGTCAAGGTTCACAGAGGGCTCACCCAGTCAACTAGCCTGGGCTCATAGGGGCTCGCAGAGACTGAACTGTCTTTTCCCCTTCTTAATAAACTGTCTCTATTTCTACCACTCAAGATACAAAGGAGGAAGGAGGCAGAGACGTCAGAATCAAAGAGCTAGGTGGAAATGCTGGCCAGCTAGATTTGAGGATAGAGGAAGGGACCACAAGCCAAGGAGGGCAGGGTGTGCATTCTCTGAAAGCTTAAAGTACGGGAACAGACTTCTCCCTTAAGTCTCTAGAAGAAGTCAGGACCTGGATGACACCATGACTCCAGTCAGTAAAGGTCCATTTTAGACTTCTCACTACCAGATGTCTAAGAGGGTAAGTTCCTGGTGCCTTAAGCTACTCAGTTAGTAGTGACTTGTTTCAATAGCAATAGATAACTCAGCCAGGGACAGGAGAAAAATACTTGTCTCTACATTTTAGTTCACCTTGTAAATAGGACTAATAAAGGCACACCACAGGGATGGTGTCAAAATACAGCAAGTACCCATGGGGGACGTTAAACTGTTCTCCCATCTTGTCACCTGCCTGCCATCACCTTATCCTGGAACAGGCAGAAGGGGAAATTGCCAGGATGAAGCAGATAATGCACCTCAATACAGCGTGTGACTGATCTGCCAGCTTGTCACAGTCTAGACTCATCTGGAAAGAGAGTGTCAACCAGGAATTTTGTGCTTTGTATTGGCCCGTGGGCATGCCTGTGGCGGGGTGGGGGGGGTGTCTTAACTAGGTCAATTGATGTGGGAAAGCAGGCCCACTGTGGGCAGCACTATTCCCTAGGCAGGGAGTCCTGGACTGTTTAGTAGTGGAGAAATGGAATGGAGCGTAAGCAAGCAAGGATGTGTACATTCATTCTCTCTGCTCATGGCTTTGACTTCACTACCCCACAATAATGGATCACAACCTAGATTTGTAAGCTGAAATAAACTATCTTCCCCGTATTTGCTTTTTGTTATTTTGTCACAGCAACAAAAAATGAAAGTAGAGCACCATGGTAAACACGTTTATATTATGGCAATATTAATAGCAAATTTAACAAGAGAACATTTTACTTTGTTAAGTGAACCAAAAAAATCTCTTGTCTCTCTGTCTCTGTCTCTTTGTCTCTGTGCCCCACCCCACCCCTTTCTGGTGGAGACAGGGACTCACCATGTATATAACCTAGGCTGGCCTGGAACTCGCTATATCACACAGTTGCTTCAAACCTGACACTGATCCTCCTAGGCTTCCCAAATGCTAGGATTATGGGTGTATGGCATGATGCCAGATTTATAAGGATTTCAATGCCGCTGAAAGTCATACACATTACAAAACTGAAATGCAGACACTGAAGATAAGGAGGATGGCGGGGAGGGAAGGTGGGGTGAGGGTAGGGGTGGGGGCAGCATTAGACTGGGCAGCATTAGACTGGGAGGCCTCCTAAAGACTTACAGGTCTGCAATTTTGTTTTATGCCAAGTCAGGGGTCTTTGAATTCTCAAGGGAAAAGTCATATGCATTTATTCTAGAGAAATTCACCCTTGGCCTATAAAGTTCAGCAGCTACACTGTGACCTGGGGATATTCTAGAGAGCAGGTATGGCAGGAATTCTCATTTGCTAAGGGGCACTGTAGAGGATAATTTGGAGGAAATAAATTTTTAAAGGGCCAGTGTTTTGGAGAACTTGGAAACAGCCAACATTACTTTTATATTTCAGGCATTAAAAAAAAAAAAGATGACCTTGAAAATTGCACAAATACACTATACTTGGTGCTGCTGGCTCTCTCCCAGGTATGCATCTCTCCATCTTTTCTTCTCTGAAAGGTTCAGCATCTCAGCCTCCCCAGCAGCACCCTGGAACTCAGAGGGAAAGGCCAATGCCTCTTGCACCAGGAGGTGATCTGGAGTCACCAGAACCGGTCACAGTTAGCTTGAGAATTCAGTCTCAAGTCAAGAACGCACAAGGTTACCCTGAGTGTGGTTCAGGTAACAGTGGCAAATCCTGTAGGTTGAAAGGGGAGTAGTCCTTGCTTCTGGGGGTGAAATTTACTTCTAAATGAATTTAGAGAGAATGGAAGTACAGCAACCCTAAACAAGAAAGACAACAATACATGAAAGAATTCTTCCAGGTAACATCTCTGGATACATGACTAAATAACGTGAAAGCCAAGTTTTATCACTAAAGTCTTAGTTAATAGGTACCCAAGTAAAGTGGTAAATTATTATCTTTTTATAAACAGAATCTGAGTTTCTGAGCAGAGATATGGTTCAGTGGGTGGGTGAGCCTCACTGTGCATATTTGCTGTGCAAATACGAAGACGTGATTTGAGCTCTCTAGAATCACACAGAGCCGAGCACTTGGTGAGCATCTGTAATCCCAGCACTCCTAGAAGACAGAAGGCAGAAACAGGAACGTTCAGAAGCTCATGGACCAGGGAACCCACAGTACACAGCAGTGAACAACAAAGAAAGGCAGTCTCAAACAACGTGGAAGGTAAGGATGGGCACTCAAGGTTGTCCCCTGGCCTCCACAGCACAGGCGCATGCTCATTCACACCACCAAAGACATTGTTTTACAAGAGGAGAATCTGAGTTTCCCTTGAAGGAGATCTCAATGTGTAGAGCTTTACTATAGTTCAGGAAAGAACCCGAACTGCATTTCTCGGGTGTGTGCTGGTCTCCTCTGGGAACCACTACAGAGGCAAGGGCCAGGGCTTAGAAATAGAGATGGGGGGTAAAGGGGGCTGAGAAGAGAGGCCAGAGCTAAGAGAAAGAAGTCCTCGCCCCAGATCCCTACTTCCCTGATCCCAGCTTGCCACATGGAAGGGACCCTTTAGCCCAGGTGCTTGGGCAGTGTTTTGGGGTCCTTGTCTAGGAGAGAAAGATCAGCATGTTATATTACAGGAAAGAGTGAGGTAGTATTAAACACGGCCATGCAGGTTGACAGAGAACAGTCATTAAAATGTTTGAATGCTTGTCCTTGGCGGGTGACTTCCGTACTGTGATTTTTTCCCCTTCCAGCTTAATACATGTTAGGATTTTTTCTGTTATTAAAACAAAAGCCAAATGCTTTTTA